ACACACAGAGCACCCCTCACACACACAGAACACCCTTCACACACTGCACAGTGTCTGTGCTAGTGTGTATATTTGTGTTTCTGCATGTGTGTGTTAATGTGTGTATCTGTATGTCAGGGTGTGTATCCTTAAGAGTGTCATTGTATGTATCTATGTGTCTGTGTATCTGCATGTGTGTCAGGGTGTGTAACTGTGTACTGGCATGTGTATCTGTCTGTCAGGATAAATATCTGTGTGTGAGGATGTGTTTCAGTGTCTGTATCTGTGTATCTGAAAGTGTATCAGGGTATGTAACCTTAAGTTTGTCAATGTGAGTATGTATGTGTCTGTGTATCTGCTTGTTTGTCAGTATATGTATCTGTGTGTCAGTGTATGTGCGTGTCTGTGTATCTGCATGTGTCTCTGTATCGGCGTGTGTGTCAGGGTGTGCATCTGTGTGTTAGGGTGCGCATCCTTAAGTGTGTCAGTGCATGTATCTATGTGTGTTTGTATCTAGATGTGTGTCAATGTGTGTGTAAAAAAGCTTCCTGTACCCCGGTTGGGTACCTCTGCAGATGGATGCTCCTAGTGCTCACCAAGGACTCCAAGCATTGCAACACCGCAGTCCCCACATCCAGCATTACAGCTTGGCTGGGAACTCGCCGTCTCCTACTGTGGCGAAACCGGCCTCGCCACGTGTCCTTGGAGGGGGCTGCTTGCCCGCCTCTTGCCTTTGGACTATGGACCAGACTTTATGTGAATGTGTTAACCCAGATAGCTATGCCATGGAGCTCATTCGTGTAGTTAAAGACTTCGGCTCCATGGCAATTGAACTGTGTGAATAGGATCTGAGCGCTATTCGGTAGTTTTGTGCGCTCAGATCCCAGCTATCTGGGGATATGTGACATGTCTGTGTTTTATGTATAAAATGTGACTTTGTGTATTTTATAATATTTTAATGCTTTGTGCTCACCATGTGCATAATGGAGTCTTGTGTCTGTCCTGGGAGATAATTGAATTACTTCTCAATTCAATCTCCAGGATAGAAGACTCTGAAACTGGTTTGGGCCAGAAAGCCATGCTTCATTTAGTCACAAAGGACTTTCCCTTAACTTTTGAACCCCTGGTCTGATTTGTGCCATTTTTTAATATGTTGTTCCCCTGAATGGATTGATTATAAAAATGTATGTTTTATGTTTGTGACATGTATATTTTAGAAGTTATAAATATTGTGTAAAAACTGTATTCCTCTGCCGGTGATAATGAGATTACCCATTGTGTTCAGTAATCATATCACAGGCAGAGGGGAGGATTTTGTGTGGGAGTGTCTGGGTGTATTGTACGGATTGATTGGTTGTTTTGTAACGCCCTGTGGGCTGTACTATGTTTGTGGATTGGGAATAAAAGAGACTGTATGTGACAGCACAGGGAGTTCCTGCTTAACCCTCAAAGTGAAGTGTCGTCTCATTATTCGGGGAGGATTTATTGTCTGCTGTTCCAGTTTGACTGCTAGGAGTGTAAACCTATTCACATGGTTTTTCCTATTCAGCTGTATACAATATTCATATGCTTGAGAGCATTCATATGCTCCTACGGTTCGGTGGTTTTGGTGTCTGCTGCAGTGCTTGGAGTCCTCAGGAAGTGCTAGGAGCATCCTTCAATGGAGGTACCCAGTCGGGGTGCCAGGTGATCCGTTACATTAATACGGTTCGGTGGTTTTGGTGTCTGCTGCAGTGCTTGGAGTCCTCAGGGAGTGCTAGGAGCATCCTTCAACGGAGGTACCCAGTCGGGGTGCCAGGTGATCCATTACATTAATACGGTTCGGTGGTTTTGGTGTCTGCTGCAGTGCTTGGAGTCCTCAGGAAGTGCTAGGAGCATCCTTCAACGGAGGTAACCAGTCGGGGTGCCAGGTGATCCGTTACATTAATACGGTTCGGTGGTTTTGGTGTCTGCTGCAGAGCTTGGAGTCCTCAGGAAGTGCTAGGAGCATCCTTCAACGGAGGTACCCAGTCGGGGTGCCAGGTGATCCATTACATTAATGTCACATATCCCCAGATAGCTGGGATCTGAGCGCACAAAACTACCGAATAGCGCTCAGATCCTATTCACACAGCTCAATTGCCATGAAGCCGAAGTCTTTAACTACACGAATGAGCTCCATGGCATAGCTATCTGGGTTTACACATTCACATAAAGTCTGGTCCATAGTCCAAAGGCAAGAGGCGGGCAAGCAGCCCCCTCCAAGGACACGTGGCGAGGCCGGTTTCGCCACAACTACCCATCCTGGACCTATGGCAAGGCTCCAGGTTCCACTGGGTAAACTTCTCTTCCTCCAGAGAGTCAAGCAGGAACAGTTCTTAAAAGATCTTAGTGATTATAATCCCTGGGGAGTATAGTGATATAGCAATCCCCAGGGTAGCCTTTTCCCCCACATATGAGACGAGACTATGTTGAGGATAAAACAGGAACTCCGCATTAATGGTTTACATTGGCTTTTATACACAATCTTCATACATAGGAACACCCCCTGGACCTGATGGGGCACAGACCAATAAAAACAGTGTAACAATCAATGACACTCCCACATACAGTACACAATCCCTCCCCTCGGCCTGTGATATAATTAAGGAAGATAATGCATTAACTTAATTATCCACAGGCAAAAAAAAATATTTTTTTTTTTTTACAAAGTCCAATAAGTAAACCAAAACACAACATATCCTCTGATACGCCCGATCTGGGTGAAAAACATATCCAAAAATCACCCATATCGGTACAGAGATTCAGGAATTTCCTGGAAGTCGTAGTTTTGACCAACAGTGCACATGGTCCTATGCCCAAAACAGTTCCAGGGAATTAGGGCCAACGGTCGGTCTCTCTTTATGGAGTACAAAAGTACTTTTCCTGGCTAATCATGGCAGCATTTAACATATGGGTTTAGCTCCTCCCTCCAACCCTCAGGACAGGAAACACAATCAATTAAACAATTAAGCCTACCTTCCCCTAGTATATTAGGTACCCCAGTATCCCCCACACCTCAGTCTTTTCCTGTCCTCCTAGCCCTTGGACAGTTTAAATATTTTTTTTTTCTCTTTTCAGTTTCTTCTGAATGATTTTTTATTTTTTGCTCACCTGACCATGTTTTATATGGTCTTGTCCCTTTGGAGGTCAGCCTCCCTCCTCAGGAAGCCCAGGCACATGTAGCCCAATCTCCATGGAGTTGGGAACCCCTGGGTGGTTAGTTCCACAGGCTGTGGGAATCCTCTGCCGTCCAGTGTGTACTACAGACCTCGATCAGACGATCAGCATAAGGGTAAGACGCTCGCGCATGCGCAATGCGTCCGACCGGACCCAGAGTGAAGTTTGCCCCTTTCCAAAATGGCGGTTTAGCGATCTCGCGACCGAAGTGCGCATGCGCGATCATTTAAAGGTACAGAGCGGGAAATTTGAAATGGCGGTATTTAGCCTAAAAAACGCTCGTTTCCATTCCCTTTAAAGATACAGTGCTCTAGTAGACTGTTCTTAAAGCTCTGCAGGTAAGAGAATTACTTATATTACTTATATTTTTAAATCTTCATAATATTGGGCTGGGAATACATTTTTTTTATTATTTTATTGTTCTTAGCCCTTCAGTCAGTATGGATCCTTCATCCCCTTCTGCAAGATCAACGAGATCTGCTATAGGTCATAGGTGAGCAATATTTTTTTGGTTTCTTCACGTTACTAAAAAGAGTGCACAGAGGGTACAGTCTTACGACTTCTGTATCTTACAGCCCTCGTGACCGGTCCTGTCCCAGATCCCCATCGAGGAGAAGGGAGAAACCGGCAGCCTGCCCTGGATGTGGAGCAAGGCCTTTGGATAACTGCAGGCTCTGCAGGAAATGCTTAGCCATTGTCGCAGGAGAATCTGATCGCCAGAGGTCACCACAAGCCTCTACCTCCTCAGCCAAGGATATTGCTTATTGGATTAAGCAGGCAGTGGTTGAGGGAATTGCTGAATCCCACAAGATCAAGAGATCAAGAGGGGAAAACTTCGGCGTGGATTCAGATCAGTCTGAAGATGAATACAGACAGACTTCATCTTACCTGGATTTGGAGCCAATCTCGTCCAGTGAAGAGGAGTATATGGAACAACCTTGCTCCTTGGACTCCAAAGCTATGGAGCATTTGATTATGGCTGTTAGAAGAACATTGGATTTGCCGGAAGAAACCAGAGAATGTTCAGCTTCTGACAGACACTTTGGAGATTTACATAAGAAAAGACCTTCCTTTCCAGTCCACAGCTCTATTAAAGACCTGATAAGGAACGAGTGGCAAATTCCAAGTAAGAGGATTACTAGTCAGGGTCGGCTTTCAAAGCTATATCCGATTAAAGAGGAGGATTCCAGATTGTGGACTACGGTCCCCAAAGTTGATGCTCCTATCATTAAGGTTGCTAAAAGATCCACGCTACCAATTGATTGCAATGCTTCCCTTAAGGAGCCCATGGATAAAAGGATTGATGCTGATCTATCTAAAGCTTTCATGACAGCGGGTTTAGGTTGCCATCCAGCTGTGTCCATTTCGGCTTTATCCAGAGCCATGCGTTCCTGGTTGCTTGACTTGGAGGATGACATAGATAAAGGTGTCAGTAGACGTCAGATGACGGAATCCTTAAGAGATATCAAACTCGCCAGTGACTGGCTTTTGGAATCCTCCACTGACCTCATTAGGATTCTTTCTAAGGTTATGGCACATTCAGTCACCGCTAGAAGGGCGCTTTGGCTCAGATCCTGGGGGGCAGACCTGTCATCCAAGAATAATTTATGCTCACTTCCCTTTATGGGAGAAGTGCTTTTTGGGAAACCTCTGGACGAAGCTATTAAAAAAGGTTAAACAGGTCATGCTGCCACAAGATAGGCGTTCAAAGAGACCTCGTCTGGACCGTAGACCTTTTAGGGATCAAGGCTACTTTAGGGAAAGTAAGACTTACAGGCCAGGCAGAGAATTCTCAAGGAATTCCAATTGGAAGAGCGGCCTGAATGGAAAATCCTCTAGGGGCAAGACGCAGACCTCTTCCTTTTGCCCCAACAAGCAATTCTGAAGGTGGCTTACTCCAGGTTCCTCGTGTGGGAGCACGGAGTGCTTGGGTAAGATCCATTATCACCGGAGGTTATCATCTGGAATTCGACGAATATCCACCTCCACCAAGGTTTATTCGCACAAGGCTTCCAGCCAACATCCGAAAACGAGAGGTTTTGACTCTTTATGTCAACAATCTTCTTATGGAAGAGGCCATCATACCTGTACCCATAAAAACTAAAAAAAACAACCAACAATAATGTACCTTATACAACTTAATATATATGCAAAAGATACTTATCAAATGAAGATGAATACAGCCTCCCTCAGATCGCTTCCCAGCTAGCGATCAACTTGACAGCAAAATGTAGAAAAAACAACAACGAGGGAACCGGCTGATAATCTCTACAAAAGTAAATAGAGAGAATATAGTGTAATACAGTTTACAGTATAAACATTGCGCAAATTGAAATGCACTCACTGGATTTTGGACAAATTGAAGCTTGTAAAGTGCCTTCCCCGATAGTATGGGGGGCCTAGGGAAATCCCCTGGATGTTTTCACTCCAACACAGGACTCCGGGTGAAGTTTGGAAAAATGGCTTTAATTCAATATTAAAATGTGTTTAAAAATAAATAAAATAAATATAAATAAGGTCCTACGCGTTTCGTCCCTTTAACAAAATAGGGACTTCCTCAGGGACCACAATATTAAGAAACAATTTGATACAATACAATCAAAGTACAGCCTAACAAATCCCCACCCGAAAAGTCCTTTAAATAGGGCTAATCCCTCATCTTAATTCAGTCACATGTTATCCTTAGACTCTCCTCATTGGTCCTCCATTAATAAGGTTCATCTGTTGCCGATCGCGGCTCCAAGTGTTCACAGCTGATTTCGGAATTGTTCAATAGTCCTCCGAAAACTACCGGCACGGAAGTGCCATGCGTTCCGGCTGCGTTGACTAAACCGGAAGTGGCATGCGTTCCAACCACGTTGACGGACCGGAAGTGATGTGCGTTCCAACCTCGTTGTTTTGCGTTCCATTTATAATCTGCAATATCTGGCCATAAAATACATGTAAATACTTCCACTCTACCGCTCAAAAATCACTATTAATGTATTAATCTTATAATTCATACAAGAAATACTATGCTATTCACCATATGAATTCAATAACTATACACAATCCACTCTAATATACCATATTGAATGTGATTTTATAATATCAATTAGTTCATCCCATATTTTTATATAAAAATGTGATTCATATTCAAAATTTATAATAAATTCATCAATGTGCTACATTTGTGTCAATCATTATTTATTATCCTATTAATTTTTTATTTATTTATTTATTTATTTATTTATTTATTTTTCCTCTTTTCCTCTCTTTTCCCCTTTCTCTCCTCTCTCACCTTTTATATATATATATATATATATATATATATATGTAATGTATTCCTTTTGTTTAATACTAAATAGTGAATTGCAATCATAAAAAACACACTAAATCCACTTCAACATTTAATCCCCCTGGTTCCAATGTCTGTAATTTATGGATCCAGTAGGTCTCACGTTGTGATAGTTTTTTAACTCTATCACCCCCTCTCCAATCTGTTGTTACTCTCTCAATACCAATGCACTTAAATTTTTTAAAAGAAAATAGTGAACAATGATTGCAGTGAACTGGGATAGAGTGGGTAGCCAAGTTCTTTTTGATATTATTAATATGTTCCATAAACCGAACTTTTAAAAGTCTCTTTGTTCTGCCAACATATTGTTTGCCGCACGGACACTGCAGTAAATAAACTACATAATCCGTGCGGCAATGTATCTCGGTCTTAATATGGAAAACCTCCCCTGTTATAAAACTAGAGAATATATCCGTGCGTTCTAAATTAACAGTGTGACAAGCTTTGCAAGAATTACAGCCCCTAAAAGAACTATTACCAATTGACTTATGACTATCCTCATGATGTTTTAAGGCATAACTTGGTGCCAAAATATTCTTAAAGTTTTGTTTTTTTCTAAAAATAAGTTTAGGCCGATCAGGTAAAACAGAATTCAATACAGGATCCTGTTGGAGAATCGACCAATGTTTTTGTAAACTTCTCCTAATTTTAACATGATTGGTACAGTATTGAGTTCTAAAAGTAATTGTATTATCCTGATAAGGTTTAACACAAGGTTTGTCCATAAGGTAGTTACCCCTGTCGGATTGTAAAGCCATACGGATTTCCCTATCCAATGTATTCTTTTTATAACCTCTTTCAACCAATTTGTCCCTGATGTGGCCAGATTGCGTTATAAAGTCATTGACTTGAGAGCAATTCCTTCTCACCCTAGCAAATTGGCCCTTGGCTATTCCTCTAAGCCAGGGGCGGTGATGGCAGCTCTGCTGATGAACATATCCATTGCCATCACTGGGTTTGAAGAAACACTTCGTTTTTATGGAGTCATTATCACATATTAAGGACAAATCTAAAAAACTAATTTCATTCTGATGCCATACAGAAGTGAATTTTAAATTATATTTATTCTGATTTAAATAGTTTTCAAAACATTGAAAAGCAGAAAAAGACCCCTTCCAAATAATAATAACGTCATCGATATATCTCCGCCAGAGCACCAGGTTCTCCCTCCAGTCATGACCAGCCCAAACTGTAAGATCCTCCCATCTCCGCATATAGGTATTGGCATAACTGGGGGCGAACCTGGTGCCCATGGCGGTTCCCGTGATTTGTAAATAAAATTTATCATTAAAGAAAAAATAATTGTGTTCTAAAATAAATTTAACTGAATGTAAGATTTCCAAACTTCACCCGGAGTCCTGTGTTGGAGTGAAAACATCCAGGGGATTTCCCTAGGCCCCCCATACTATCGGGGAAGGCACTTTACAAGCTTCAATTTGTCCAAAATCCAGTGAGTGCATTTCAATTTGCGCAATGTTTATACTGTAAACTGTATTACACTATATTCTCTCTATTTACTTTTGTAGAGATTATCAGCCGGTTCCCTCGTTGTTGTTTTTTCTACACTGTACCCATAAAAGAAAGATTCCAGGGATATTATTCCCCCCTGTTCTTGGTCAAGAAGCCAGAGGGAAAATGGAGGCCTATTTTAGATCTCCACCAGCTCAACCTTTATCTGAGAGTCAGAAAATTTTGGATGGAATCCATTCGCTCCATCATTCCGGTTGTTCATCACCAAGATTGGATGATATCAGTAGACCTCAGGGATGCATATTTTCATGTCCCTATCACGTTCACCCATCAAAGGTTTCTCAGGTTTTGTGTCCGGAAGGAACACTTTCAATTTCAGGCCCTTCCTTTTGGTATAAGTACGGCCCCGAGGACCTTCTCGAAGGTTCTGGTCACCATCATTGCTTTGCTCAGAAAAGAAGGTGTAGCGGTGTTTCACTACCTGGACGACATCCTGGTAGTGGCTCCAGACCTAGCATCAATATTCCAACACAGGCAATTAGTCCTCGACACTCTATCTCATTTCGGTTGGCTCATCAATTACGAGAAGAGTCACTTGCATCCTTCAAGAGAACTGATATTCCTGGGAGCAAATTTCAATACAGACACAGCGATTGTATCCCTCTCACACGACAGAAAGATCAGACTTCGAGATCGGATAAGGGACTTCAGACTAAAGACTTCAGCCTCGGCAAGAGAGTTTATGAGACTTCTGGGGACTCTTTCCTCTACGATATAACTTGTCAGATGGGCTCAGTGGAACCTTCGCCCTCTTCAACAATTTTTCCTAAAAGATTTCAGGACCGACTCGAGGGAGTGTGAGACGCTGATTCGCATTCCTTTGATTCTGAAGCAGAAGCTCCTTTGGTGGATGTCGTAGGAAAATCTCTCCAGAGGGTTCCCCTTGCGGGAAATAGATTGGGTGGTCATTACGACAGATGCCAGTCTGACAGGTTGGGGGGCACATTTAGGCAATCAATTTTTTCAAGCAAATTGGCCTCCAAGAACTCAATGCTTGCCTTCCAACATCAGGGAGCTAAGAGCAACCTTTCTGGCGCTTCTTCATTTTCAGCATCTCATCAGGCATTGCTGGGTCAAGTTGAGAGTGGACAACAAAGCGGCTGCTGCCTACATAAACCATCAAGGCGGAACAAGGAGTGTAGCCCTGATGAGAGAGATAGTTCCCATTATGACCTGGGCTCAGAATCATGTGGAAGGCCTGTGTGCCATCTATCTCCCAGGGAAGGAGAATGTAATAGCGGATTTCCTCAGCAGACATCGGATAGAGGCTTCAGAATGGCAACTTTCCAGGAGGCTCTTCGCTCGGTTGGTCCAGAAGTGGGGTCTTCCCCAAGTAGACCTCATGGCGACCTTTCGGAATGCGCAGGTTCCATGCTTTGTGTCGAGGAGATACCATCCAAAGGCGGTTGCTCAGGATGCTCTATCCATCAATTGGGTATTCAATCTGGCTTACGTTTTTCCTCCAATTCCCCTCATCCACGCTGTTCTGAGAAAGATCTCCAAGGAACATTGCAAGGTGATAGCTGTACTTCCATTCTGGCCTCGTCGCCCTTGGTTTCCCCTGTTACAGAGGTTATCAGTGGACCTGCCTTGGGAACTTCCAGTCTCAGAAGACCTGCTGATTCAGGGTCCAGTGTTTCATCCGGAGCCTCACAAATTCAGGCTCCATGCATGGCTATTGAGAGGAAGTCTCTAGTTGAACATGGCCTTTCGGACCAGGTTATCTCTACCCTGTTACGTTCCAGGAATCCTTCTACTTCTTCTACGTACCATAAGGTATGGGAAACCTTTGCTCGATGGTGTAATTCCACGGTTCAAGAATTAGGTTCCCCTTCCGTGTCTCAGGTTTTGGGTTTCCTGCAAGCAGGCCTGGAGAGGGGCCTTCAACTTAACACGCTTAAAGTGCACTGCTCTGCTCTTTCAGCTCTTTCCGGTGTTCGTTGGGCATTGAATCCTATTGTAATTCGCTTCTTCAAAGCAGTCATTAGGATCAGACCTCCTATCTCCTTGGAATTTGCCTCTGGTTCTGCAGGCCTTGACGGAACATCCCTTCGAACCTATTGATGAGGTCTCTATGCAGGTTCTTTCTCTTAAGACCCTGTTGTTACTGGCCTTGGTATCTGCTAGGAGAATGTCAGATATTAGAGCACTGAAGAACCGTTCACTACCTTCTTCGATGATAGAGTTGTGCTACGGCCTAGACCTGAGTTCCTTCCTAAGGTGGTTACATCCTTTCATCTGAATCAAGAGATTGTCCTGCCAGGATATTTTCAGGAGCCATCGTCTCCTGAGGAAGAAAGATGTCATACGCTAGACCTAAGGAGGTGTCTTTCCACATATATTTCACGCTCAGCTGATTGGAGGAAGTCTACCCAATTGTTTGTGATACCTTGGGGTTCTCGTAAAGGTGAAGCTGCCTCTGTCGCAACCCTTCATTCTTGGACGGTTCTGGCTATTTCTAAAGCTTACAGAGCTAAACAGGTTCCAGTTCCCAAGAACATCAAGGCACATTCCACAAGGTCCATTGCTACTTCATGGGCTGCAGAGTCAGGAGTTCCTGCAGAGAGCATCTGTAAAGCTGCCAATTGGTCATCTTTAAAAACCTTTGTACACCACTACAGAGTGGATATCTCATCTCGTTCTGATTCAGAGTTTGGCCTATCGATCCTGAACTCTTATAAGCCTTAAGTGGATATTAAACAGTTTTTGTAGCATGACTTACCCTCCCTGAGTGGTTATTGCTTTGGTAATCCCATATGTTAAATGCTGCCATGATTAGCCAGGAATAGAGAAAATTTATTGATACTTACCGTAATTTTCTTTTCCTGGCTATTATTCATGGCAGCATTTGGTCTCCCACCCTCTCTTGGTTTATTTGTCTTGTTACTAGACTGAGGTGTGGGGGATACTGGGGTACCTAATATACTAGGGAAGGTAGGCTTAATTGTTTAATTGATTGTGTTTCCTGTCCTGAGGGTTGGAGGGAGGAGCTAAACCCATATGTTAAATGCTGCCATGAATAATAGCCAGGAAAAGAAAATTACGGTAAGTATCAATAAATTTTCTCTAATATTAACTGAATAGAGCCTTTTAAAGTGTATTGGGCAAGGTATATTGCAGGGTCCATAGTCACAGGGTAGGAGGCAAGCAAACAAGCCAAAAACCAGTGGCGAGGTCACTATCGCCACAGTGTGTATTTATGTCAGTGTATGTATCTCTGTCTCAGGGTATGTATCTGTGTGTCAGGATAAGTATCTGTTTCTGTATGTGTGTCAGTGTCTGTTTCTGTATGTGTGTCAGGTTATGTATCCTTAAGTGTATCAGTGTATGTATATATGTGTTTGTGGATCTGCATGCTTTTCAGTATAGGTATCTGTGTGTCTGTCAGGGTGGCGGTCCGGTGCCCTGGACCCAGACCTCGTCCGGGCAGCGGTGCGTGGACCGGGACCCAGTATGCCTGATGCTCAGAGTTGGAGTCACAGTGTGGAGGTGGATTAGCAGGGTCTGGTGCAGGGTAACCGCACGCCCCCTGGTGTTGAGCACCAGCGTTTGTGCAGCCACATACCAGAACCCTGATTCAGCTTATGCAGATCCCAGAACCTAGGAGCAGGTAATTAAGCTGACCTCCCAGGAGCTGAATAGGGAGGCTCTGCAGCAGGGATGTATCCAGTACCGAAGCAAGGCAAGACTAGAGATAGACACCATACATGAAAACAAGACCAAACTAGGAGAGCAAGGCAAGACTAGAGATAGGCACCATACATGAAAACAAGACAAAACTAGGAGAACCCAGAACCAGAGCAGGACAGAAAGCAGAACCTAGAACATGTACACAAGACATGAGGAAAACAAGAACATAACATGGGCATGACTGGACAGGACTGTACATGGACTGGGATTACAAGACAAAGTAAAACAAGAGGAAACATAGCTAAGCACTAATTATGAAAAGTATGGGGATTTAGTCACATTATATGATCATACATTGCACAAGCCTGCCAACAATGCCAATGTACCCCATATCTGGCAGGTCCTACACTGCCTAATGTATGCTAAAACAACCACACTGAACCATAATAGCACTTACCTGCAAGAAAGGGCAGAGACATGAAACACTGCTGCAGGTCCAAGCTGAAACAAAAGGAAAGTGGAAAACAAACGGATGTGGCAACATAAAACAAACATTTAAGTGAATCCAAGAGACTGGGAAATCCAGGGACAGAATATAAAAATGAACCCAGAAACCCAGCAACAAAGAAAACCAGACATAGACCAGAAAAACCAAGCAAGGACAGCAAAAAGAGTACTGGATACCAGAAGCCATTGCCAGAATGATCCGCAGCGAGGAACGGGATGTGACAGTGTCAATGTGTGTGTCTCTGTGTATATGCATGTGTGTCTGTGTATTTGCATGTGTGTATATCTGCATGTATGTCTGTGTATCTGCATGTGTGTCAGGGTGCGCATCTATGTGTCAGATACATATACTGACACACTTAAGGATACATACCCTGACACACACATGCACATCCTAACACACAGATGCACATGCAGATACACAGAAACACGTTGACACACAGATACATATACTGACAAACATGCAGATACAAAGACACATAGAAACATACACTGGCGTACTTAATGATACATACCCTATGTTTCTTTGTGTTTGCATGTGTGTCAGGGTGTGTATCTGTGTGTCAGGGTATGTATCTGTATGTGTGTCAGAGTATGTCATTGTATGTATATATGTGTCTGTGTATCTGCATGTGTGTCAGTGTATGTATCGCTGTGCATCTGCATATGT